GGCAACCCGCCACTAAAATATAAATACATTAAATGTACTGAAGGAAATGTTCATTCTGTTGTTTAGCGTTGGACATGCCCCAGTTAGGTAAATTTAATCTTCTTGAGGGTTGTTGCGTTACAGCTGAATGAGATAGGCAGTTATCTTATTACTGATCTTTCTGTCATTCAGGGTTTGTGTTCTGGCATTCGCGGTGTGAAGTGTGCTTGCCCAAGAGCGGTCCTAGGAGTATTTTCCAAGGGAAATGAAGGTGCGTAGAGGATCTGTTAGCACCTTGCAAGGTCTGACCCTTTGTCTCGGAAATGTTCACTCTCCTTGTCAGTCACACCACTACCGGTCCCACCTCCTTTTGGGTAGAAATGTGCAAAATGGTTGCTTCGCCTATGTTTGTTAGGAAATGTCTGAAACTTGGCCTCGAGGCATTTATTTTCTTCCCCTGTATTCCTTTTGTTAACTTGTGCTATGGGGTTTTCTGCCACAGTTCCTTCCAAAATCCCTGGCCGTGCCTCTGCTCCTGTTGAGGTCAGGGGCAAGGCTCCTGCCGACTCCAGGGTGAGCGGAGGCCAGCATTAAGCGTCAGACTCAAAGCCGATATTGATTGCATTAAAGAGGAGTCTCTCCATTGTTTTCCACGGGTGCTGGGTCAGACCCTCCCAACGTGATCCCGCAGCATTAACTCTCGTGACTAATCCCGCTGAAAACCGGGGAGCTACTCCACTGCGTAAGCACTACCAAATCCAATGCGCAGCGTTAACAAGCACTCTGCAACAGTTCAGCTCTTCTCTTGGTTGTACGGTGGAGGGAAAAGATGAGGCAGGAAAAGGAAAGCAGAAGGAATAAATGAACAGAGAGATTTTGAGCTGGTTGTGAAGAATGACGATGTTCTGTATGGAATGCAAGTACTTAAAAAAATAAGACATTGGCTGTGTGTTTTACAGATAAGAAAATGTTATTTTATTGAACGGAAAGATATATATGTTTCACCTATCACATCTGAACTAATCAGTGTAGGCTTTTAGAAGAAGTCTGTAATTACTCTGAGCACGTCATTAGTTAGATGTAAAATGAATGATATTGCTCTGTTTTATTACCTCTAGTGATATAGCCATTTGTATCATAAATTCATTGACCTCATTTTAAATGATCAATCCTGTAAGACAGACTTGATTCATTAATTCTTAAGTGACATTTTTTCTCCTCCAGTAATTTTCTCCTCATCGTAGGGACTGTTTTTCTGCCTTTTAGTATGGTATTGTAAGGTGTCATATTACCTGTGTATGACATGCACATTTTATACTTGTATCTTAAATAAGCAGCATAGACTGACTGCTTAGACACAAAGAAAGAAAGAAAGAAAGAAAGAAAGAAAGAAAGAAAGAAGGAAAGAAAGAAAGAAAGAAAAAGAAAATAATGAAGTACATGGATGTAGTAGATAGACATTTCTCACTGATGTTAACTTCAACACTTTGAGATGTTGCATAAAATCAATGAGATAATTATTAGGTATTTGGTCCATCCAGGATGTTCAGAGGAACAGAATCACTGCCTTTAATTTCTGTGGCTTTAATTAATTTTACCTAGTGATAAAATATACAGAACCGTCTCTGATCAATATGTGAGTGAGGCAGGCAGACTTCAGAGTTTCTTGTACCTCAGTGAATTATTAAAAACAGGAGAAATCAGTAGAGAATTTCTAAGCAGGATTTCTAAATATTTTACTGAGGAAGAGAAAATATTTGTTTAGCTACAAGTGACATAGGAGCCTTTAGATAACTTTAGATAAACAAATCAATATAGCAATAAAACTCTAAAGTATTTCAGTAGATTTTTTAACTGATAACTACTAAAACTAAATTATTAGAAAAGATGCCACAAGTTTTTTTGGGGCCGTATTTTTCTTTCAGCCTGTTTAATTAAAGTCACTGAGGGGTCTCTTCCTAGAAAGATAAGGAGGCTGGGTTTACTCTCTCATATTTCTCAGGTGCTTCTTTGGCAGCAGGCTTACAAGTTGGTTTGCTTCCTTTGCCCCGAAGGAAAGGCAAGTCTTAGCTGCACCATCCCAGGACTAAATCAGGGAAGCAGCTGCATCTGGAGTCTTGCCCCATCCCTTACAGCAGCCACCTCCAGGACCGGTCTCCTCATCATCTTTCCGCTGCAAGCAGATGCTGTTTTGGTGGGTGATAGGCTGGGGCGGGCTTCATCCTTCCCCTAGCCTTCCTCGGGAGCCAGCTGGGAGCTCCTGGTACCTCTTTGTGCAGCTCTTGGGGTACATGTGGAGACCCCCTGCCTCTTTGCACAGCCCTTGGGGCAAGAGCATACCCTGCAAGTGGCAGAAGGAATTGCAGTGGTTTGCATCCTGATTCCATACATGCAAAAAGATAGCAGTTTGTGGCTACAGCAGTGAGCTCTCGATCAAAAATGACTTTAAGGTAAATTCAGCAGCTTTACTGAGTTAAACAGTACCTTATTAACTTGCGGTGTAGACTCACAAATTCCCCTTTTGTCTGCTTGGAAAACAGTGGCAAGTCAGAAAATTTCAGGAGGTCAATTATAAGGTGTTTCCATCAGATCATCCTGTGTTGACTTGCCAGGTGGGTGGCAAAACCCATACCCATGCCAAATACTCAGGATGGTTCAGTGCCCACTGCTGCGTGTTTGCACTATTTGCGGCGAGGGGTTGCCCAGCTCCGGTGCTGTCTGCGATGGCCGCTGAGCCTTCCTGCAGGGAGCAGAGGGAGAGCCGATGCCTGGTAAAACCGAGGTCTGCGATGGCCGCTGAGCCTTCCTGCAGGGAGCAGAGGGAGAGCCGATGCCTGGTAAAACCGAGGGGCCCTTGAAGTGGGGCTGCCTCCTCTTTGCTGTCCTCCATGCACTCCTGCTTCCCATCCACCCTATGCTTTGGGGGGATGCATGTGCCATGGCAGCGGAGGCATTTATCTTGACTCTTCTGTGCGTTTGACAGCCTTTTTGTCCACATTTTTTAGGGCACTACATTGTCAGTGTGTGTTCAATGCAGGGCTGGCCCTGTTTGTAACGCACCAGGAAATTTTCTTCCTTGCATGGAGTGTCGTGCTGGCATCCTAATGCCACACGCGTCGAGCAGCACCAGCACCCCCTCTGCTTTATCTCATGTGGCACTGTGTCTGTGTGCCCAAGCTAAAAATCTGGGCCCTGCACTCCCAAACTTCAGGGGTGACTTAATAGTTGCTACTTCTCAAGTAATTGTTTAGTTTGATTTAACCGTTGGGATGAAAACTTCGTGGTAGAGAGAGGGAGTGTGTGTGTGAGTCTGTGAATGGGGTGGGGAGGCAGGAGAGGGAATCAAATAGCAACCCAACTGGATAACCAAAAGGTTGCAGAGTTAAAATAAACAGGCTAATAGCCATAGCATATAGGGGATATGGGTGTGTATATGTGTGTGTATATATAGATGTTAAAGATATATTACTGAAAACTCAAAAATGTCACCACTGTTTATATTAAAGGAAAGCTGAGAGTTAAATGAGATGGGTAATCAGATGCCCGACATATGTTGTTTGGAATTGTTTATATGGCCAATAGTTATTAAAATTAATTATCCTTTTAATGCGGTTTTTTCACAATCATATTCTTTTTTTTTTTTGTTTTACAAAAGATACAGTCACTTCAAAACAAGCTAATATGGGCTATTTCGAAAAGGCAGAACAAGCAATAGCAGGATGATTCTGACATGGTCATAGGCTCAACATGCTGATAGAAAGCACCAAAAATCTCTGTCAACGGAGTATTTTGAGAACTAATGTAAATGGCAAAAATGGGTTTTTTGTGTGTGTAAAATTCTGTCAAAAAAGTAAGGCACTGAAAAATCTGACATCTGTTTATCTGTTTATAGCTATGGCAAGCTTACTCATATTAATTCTTGTTTAAAATGCCATATGAAGGAAAGGCATTTGTGCAAACAAGAGTCATATTTGAATTGTAGATCATGTCTTCACCATCTGTGAGAGCTGTTGGTGTTGCAAAATTAATGTGTTAATGAAATCACAATAATTTCTCTGAAGTAATGGATTCTGAAGCCTAGAATGACTATTTTTTGAACTTTGGTGTCTAGTGGTTTATGACTGGGAAAACCTTTCACAGCTTAATTAGTTCTGCAGCCTTACTTTAAAAAAAATTGGCTATGCCTTCACCACACCAATAGTAACACAGAAATGGATTAAATGGAAAGCAGAGAAACAAAACAAAAATGAGCCTGCAACGCAAACTTTTTGCCGTAGTATCTGAAAAGTTGCTAAACAGGTCCTTGCTTGCCAAGAAGTTTTACTCGAAGTGACTCGTACACAAGAGTGGGCAAAGAGCTCAGAAAATAATTCCAGCTTGCCGAAACATCACAAATTGGGACTATTCAGGTCAGGACAAATGTCCTGACCATTTCCAAGTTTCTCCTTGGAATGAAGGGCAAAGGATGAATGATGCTTTTTGCTTCATGATGCCATTTTAAAATACCACACCCTTTCCAAATTACTATTTGATACTCTTAATAGAATACTAAATGTTACAGTGTGCTGCAGTTTAGCGGAAATTATTTGCATTCATTTCCAGCAACTTTCTGAGTCCTTTTCCAGTTGTCATACTTCTTGTGTAGCATGGCATCCCAGGCGGTACAGGTGTGATTAAAGTACCACTGAGGAGTAATCACAGCCATACTCATATGGATTTTGTATACTTACATATGTGTGTTATAACAGTTTATGCCAGCTGCCATTCTTCTCTGTGGTTTAAGACATATAATGTACTGTATAAGGTAGAATTGAGATCATGCGAGCCAGAAAAGGGAATGTCATTCAATTCACCAATATTTTGGAGCAAAAAAAGCATAGTTTTCACAAACGTAACTATTTTTTTTCTGCTAGAAAAATGATGTGAGTATTTAGAAAGCAACTGAGAAATGACTTTTGAAATAACACTATGAAGAGAAGATTGCTTTTCTTACCTGATTTGATTTTATTACTGTGTTGTAGGTATGTGACTGGTGTAAGCACATAAGACACACAAAAGAGTATCTGGATTTTGGGGACGGGGAAAGAAGGCTTCAGTTCTGCAGTGCAAAATGTCTCAATCAGTACAAAATGGACATTTTCTACAAAGAGACACAGGCCAATCTTCCAGCTGGACTGTGCAGTACATTACATCCTCCAGTCGAAAATAAAGCAGAAGGCACTGGGGTGCAGCTGCTGACTCCAGATTCTTGGAATATACCGCTAGCAGATGCTCGGAGAAAAGCCCCATCCCCAGCGTCTGCAGCTGGCCAAATTCAAGGTCCTGGACCATCGGCGTCTACCACTGCCTCTCCGTCTGACACTGCCAACTGCTCTGTCACTAAAATCCCCACGCCAGTTCCCAAACCTATTCCCATCAGTGAGAATCCAAATATTCCACCAGTTTCTGTCCAGCCACCTGCTAGCATTGTGCCTCCAATTGGTGTCCCACCTCGCAGTCCTCCCATGGTGATGACAAACCGTGGGCCAGTTCCTCTGCCCATATTCATGGAACAGCAAATTATGCAGCAAATCCGTCCCCCGTTTATTCGTGGGCCACCTCACCATGCCTCAAATCCTAACAGCCCTCTGTCAAATCCAATGATTCCTGGAATCGGTCCCCCACCAGGTGGACCCAGAAATATGGGTCCCACCTCTAGCCCCATGCACAGGCCGATGCTTTCCCCTCATATCCATCCCCCCACAACACCTACCATGCCTGGGAATCCTCCAGGCTTGTTGCCGCCTCCCCCTCCTGGAGCTCCTTTGCCCAGTCTTCCCTTTCCCCCTGTCAGCATGATGCCAAATGGTCCTATGCCTATGCCACAGATGATGAACTTTGGATTGCCATCCCTTGCCCCGCTGGTGCCACCCCCGACTCTACTAGTGCCATATCCTGTCATTGTCCCTTTGCCTGTCCCCATCCCCATTCCCATCCCCATCCCTCACATCAATGACTCCAAACCCCCCAATGGCTTCTCCAGCAATGGTGAAAGCTTCATTCCAAGTACCTCCAGTGAGACGCCTGGGGCAAAGCCAACCAATAGCTCTTCATCCCCTCGAGAGTCAAAGCAAGGATCGTCTAAATCCTCTGACTCGTCACCGAGCTGCTCAGGCCAGTCCCTAAATCAAGCTCAAGTTCTTCAGGAGCACAGTAAAAATGAAGTTGTTGACTTGACTGTCAGACCTAGTAGTCCAGTGAACAGTAAGTTTGGTTTCCCCAGTGTGCTACAGGGTCCACAGGACGGTGTGATAGACCTAACAGTAGGCCACCGGTCTAGGCTGCACAATGTTATCCACAGGGCTTTACACGCCCAAGTGAAAGTTGAACGTGAACCTAACAGTGTTGTAAATTTGGCTTTTGGTAGCTCAGACAAAAGGAACTGCAGCGACTGCAGGGACAACTGCAGCCCAGTTGACTCAAAAACGTTACCGTGCAGTGACGGAGCTCACTGCTGTCCTGTCTCCTTGGCCTCCGGCACGCCGGGACTGGAAGCTGGTGCAGCGGTGTGCAACGTCATTGTGAATGGCACGAAGAGCACGGAGGGTTCCAAGAACCCGGAGCCGCCCCAGGAGCCGAAAAAGCCCCAGCCCCTGGAGGAGCTGGCGGTGAGCGAGCTGGAGTCCGTTAAGGAGAACAACTGCGCATCAAACTGCCACCTTGAGGGAGATGCTGGCAAGAAGACTGGGGAAGAGCCCCTTGCTGGGGGAGACAAACAGGACCCAAACCTTAACAACCCAGCAGACGAGGACCATGCGTATGCTTTGCGGATGCTGCCCAAGACAGGTTGCGTGATCCAGCCTGTGCCAAAACCAGCAGAAAAGACTGCTATCGCGCCGTGCATTATCTCAACGCCAATACTCAGCACAGGGCCAGAGGATCTGGAGCCACCATTGAAAAGGAGGTGTCTCCGAATTCGAAATCAGAATAAGTAAAGGTTTGTGTAATCACTACTGCCTTCTGTGTGAGTAGAATGAGTATTTTCAGGTATGAGGTCAAACTCGTGTGGATATGGCCTTTGTGAAACAAGATAGAGATCCCGATTTATCAGCACTTTCAGAAAACTATTGGTATTTATGTTTTAATATTGTTCTTTGTGTTGTATTGCATCTGTACTTGTCAGTACTCCATCCATCAGCAGCCTCATTACACTCTTGCTCACAGAACATTTCGTGATGGTGCTGGCTGTGAAATTATTGTGTTGTGTATGTCAAAGTCAGTGGTTTTCTGCCTAGGATATGGTTTAGGTCTGGGCCATTAATCTGCTTACTTATTCCAGCTGAGTTATGCAGCAACTCAAGCCTTCATGATGATGATTGAAATTACCCTACAGCATAGCATAGAGCAGGACGACCCAGCTGCTTCCTGCTAGCTCAGATCCAATTGACTTACCAAATGGTCATCTCCAACCATCTTACTCTGGTCTGCCTCCAGACCGCACCCTGGCTTTCAGCTGGGCTGTTCTCGGGGGAGTGAACCCCC